TCCCGCCATGTATCCCAGGCTCGGTTTGCTGCTTGTCCCTGCAGTGAATGGACCTGAAAACGGTAAGCTTTTTGTCACTTCTGGGTTAAGAGCTGTCCTTCCCGCGCCCACTGTGGCTGGGGATAAAGCTAATTGCCCATGCCAGAGTGAGAGCAATAATTCTAGGGCCATCATTCACTGTTAGGCCTACATTGATGAGTTGTAATTTCTTTTAAAGCATTGCTTTTGTAAAATTTTGGGTATCATCGATTTTTGACCATTGCACAAGCGCACAACATTTTGAGGTTTTTGCGACTTGACATGTTTGGTATCTAATTATTGAAACATTTCACACAAAAATGAGTAAGCGGTTGTGTTCACCCAAATGTGCATTGCACATTCATTTAAAGGCATTTTTTTAAACTGAAAATGTAGGTTTAATACACATTTGCACTAATATTGTGTAATTTTATTCTACAGGATTTCTCTAATTGTAATTCGGGGGATGTTAAGTCATCTTCAGGCCCTAAAATGGGCATTTAAAAAATTATGGAAAGGGGAAAAAAAGGCTCTAGTTTTGAAAAGGTTAATATGAGCATGTTTTTGTGTCTTGAAGGTACTTTCTTAAAGTGACAATAGTGAGGCGCATTTCAGACTTGGTGAAGGAATATGATCTGATTGTCCATCAACTCGCTACATATCCAGATGTCAACAACTCCATCAAAATGGAAGTTGGAATCGAGGACTGTTTGCACATAGAATTTGAATACAACAAATCTAAGTGAGTATGGATACGCCTAATGCAAAGTACCGGTATATACTAGGAGGCAGTGTTCACATGTTCCCGCTGCAAACAAAGGGTTCCCATTATCTGCAGCTTCATGTATGAAGTGTGGTGTCTTACTACGAATCTCCAATCAGCACCTCCTGTACAGCTCCACCCTGGGCAGCTATAGTAGAGCTATGCTTTTCAGCATAAATTCACTGTCCCTCTTATACAGAGCTCTTCCATTGCTGTTCTGCAGTTATTTTCATGAGCACAAGTTGCATGCTAAACTCCATAGACTGCACAAAAAGACTGTGTAATGTTTGTATGAGGGATAGGCAATGTAAAATATAAATGTGGAAAAGTATAGTATCTTTTATCCTGATTGTGGTTTTTTTGGGAGGGGGGAGTGATCAACTCGGTAAATAAAAAGCACTTTCCTGGGGAAAGGGTACCGTTATTTTGCTGAACATGCAATGCACACAAAAAAAAATTACAATCCCAGACAACGCTTTAGTTGCAATAATAAACCGTAAGATCTGTTGGATATTTTTGTCATTATTCATGTAAATTAGATCTTTACTTTATTTGCCCTATTGTTTAGCTTTTCTCTGGTTATACTGTGAAATTTGTTGCAACAATACCGTTTTGAGAAGTTGGTATAACTGAGTACATTTATTTATTGGTGTTTTCCCATCTTTTTCCCAGATACCACTTAAAAGATGTTATTGTGGGAAAGATCTACTTCCTGCTGGTCAGAATAAAAATCCAACATATGGAATTACAGTTAATAAAAAAGGAAATTACTGGAATAGGTAAAGGGTTTATTTGTTTGTTTTTACATTAAAGCAGGCCTTGTACTGCAAGAAAGGTCTGCTGATTTATTGAGGGACCCATAGTAAAACACTGTACTAAAATAGGGGGGGGGGGGGACAAAATTGTGGCAAAAAAGAAGTTTATACTTGCATTTCATCTTCTGTACTGGAGGGATGTCATCACTATCCACCTGCTGAGGTCCTTGGGAATGCTGAGTAGCCCAAATTTCACAAGATGATGCTCCAGCACTGTGCAGAATCTACTTTTTGATGATATTTGCACCACTCTGCATTTCCCCAAGATCTCACCAGAAGGAGGATCTGCAGCTCAGTGATGCACACATAAGGTACAGTTTTGATAATAGTTAAGGTAGTTGAATGTGTTTGACTTCAACTTCATGTCTCCTCCTGGTAAGGTTAGACAAATCAACATAGAGTTGAGCCAGTTTTAGGTATAGGCGCAAGCTAGCATGTTCTTCTACTGACAGGATTAAGGACGACAGTGTAGCTGGGCACCAGCTGTATTTTAATTTTTTTTATTCTTCTGCATAGTCTACCTGTTTCCTGGGATGTGTAGCCCTATGTTCAAGAGGGTGTTTTAGCCAAGTGTAAGAAAAACATTTGGATCCATTTCATATATGTGTGTGTATATCTCCCTAAAGTAATACCGAGGGAGACTAGGATGCTTTGAACTAAAAGTGTAGCAGCACAAGTTGAAGAACACAGAGAGATGGCGATTGGCAAACATACCTGAATTTAAAGTCGTACTAAAGGCTATTTGGTCTTTTTTTTTTACCTTCATGCATTCTCTATAAATGCCCCACTACCTTTCTATGCCCCCCCACCTCCAAACACTTTAAATCAGGAAACTTTGGGACACACTATGTTCACATCTGGCTCCCAGATCTGCCGTGTGTCCCAAAGTTTCCAGATTTAGAGGAGGGATCCCGAGGCCACAGAGAGCAGGGCAGCGATGGGTTACTGCACCTGATTGTCAAGAGGAGTTAGTGGCTTGTTGAGTGCGGTGTGTGTGTCAATGGATGCGCACAGCTCAATTCCCTCCGAGAGCTCGCACGCAGGGGTGTCTCCTGCTAGGCATAGAAAACGCCCGTAAACAGGAGGGTAGGGGGCCATGGTACATCAAGTAAAAATAAATGAAATGGGGGGAAAAACCATTTAAAAAAAAAAGATACACAAGTAGACTTGAATCTCTGGAGAATTATAAAAGAAAAAAAAAGTCGGTTTAATATCACTTTGAACTTTTTAGTTGTATAGCTTCTGCCAGGAGTACTGCGATCTACACCCATCTCTGAAAACATCAACAAACAATGGTTGGGTTTGTAATAACCTGGGTGGGGGCTACTGTAGTGGCCATGGTTGCCCACATTGGTGGGTGAAGTCTTGTTTTGATAGGTGTTGAACCAGTTCAGACAATATGCTCTGCTATTAAAAAAAAAAACTAAAAAAAAACCTAGTTTTTATACATATATAATTTACAGTTACATGCCCGTACAATATAAAGAGGTGGTCTTTATCTAGTTGTAGTCAGTATAATCCAGAAATACAATGATTTGTTTTTATGAGAATGAGACCCTTAATTTTATTCAGTACAGTGGAACATGAATAATACATTGTTTGTGTTTCAGGACCTAGTACTACAACTGAAACAGAAACTGTTGCGAAATATGAAATTATGGATGGGGCACCTGTAAAAGGTAATAATGATATATTATTTTTATTTGATTTATTTTTTTCCCCGTTGGATTAGTTATTACTAGTGAATACACATTTAATAAATTAGTGAATAATAATTATGTGGTTTTTAACCCCTTCGTGACTGACGACGTACAGTGTACGTCGCCAGCATCGGGGCTGTTTAAACAGACTCCCGGTGACTTTTGCCGCCGGGACTCTGTTTAAACTTGTAGAGCCGACTGTCGGCTTTACAACAGAAGTGATTCTGGCGACTTACATAATGTCACCACCATCTGCTATCACATGGGGGGGCTTGTAAGCCCCCCCATGTGATAGCAGTCAAAGTAAAGTAAAAAAAACATTTTTTAATATTAAAATAAATCTAATAATAATTTTAAAAATTTAAAAGTCCCCCGTCGCCACGTAAACACGCGTCGGGTGCGCCTACGTATGAAAACGACGAACGCGCTACACATGTTGGGTATCGCCGCGCACGCCGGAGTGAGAGCAATAATTCTAGGGCCAGTATTTTGGGGTATCTCTAAATTGATGACCTGTGGGGGCTTTTAAAGCGTCTTCTATGGACTTTTTGGGGTACTGGGGTTTTTCGCCGTTTTACGGATGCACGCAATTTGTAACCTGGGCATGTTGGGTATCGTTTTACTCGTTGTAACCTCATCTTTTATATTTCATTAAAAAAATGGGTATTTTGTTGTGTTTTGGGGCATTTAATTAAATTTTTCACTAAATATTGGGGTTTAATAAGGAGTTGCGCTAATATTGCGCAACATAAAAATTTGCAACTACCACCATTTTATTCTATAGGGTCTTGGCATTCAGAAAATATATAATGTTGGGGGGTTTTAAGTAATTTTCAGGCCTAAAATGTGGAATATAACATGGGTGCAAAAAATGAAAAAAAAGCCTCAGTCATGAAGGGGTTAAATGGTCACAGATTACTGACACTTGAACTAAAGTCTTTTACTTGTACTACACACACCCCCAAAAAACCCAAAACAATTATTTAATACGCAGGGTGTTTGACATACACTGAGTGGCCAGATTATTATGACCACCCCATCAGTACTTCATTGGGCCGCCTCGTGACTCCACGAGCTGTTGAAAGGTGATGCGAGGAATCTGACACTGCACTGTTGCCCTTCTGTTGCCTTGTACCAGTCTTGCCACTCTCCGTTCTGCACTAACATTGACTATTCGCTGACGACCACAATTCACATGGTCAGACCCATATTTTTGGCTGACAGTCCAGTCTTTAAACACTGCTCTTGAACATTTAACGAGTTCTGCTTTTTTGCTGATACTCGCTCCATGGCTCCGAGCGCCAACAATCATCCCACGTTCAAAGCGTGTTAAATCGCGTTGTTTACCCATATCTTCAGAAAAAAATCACTTGTACTGTCGTGGTAAACAACCTGCTTCCCTATTTATAATGGTCTGGTCCTCTAGCAACTTCAGCGTGAAATTATAGCTAATTAGCCTACAAACGTCAGGTGGTCATAATAATCTGGCCACTCAGTGTATATGCTCTGTCCTTCTGCTCCACTCCCGCTCCCCTCTATTGTGTATTTGCTGGAGATTGGTCATGACAGCTGGAGGTGCATATCAAAAGGATGAGCTTCCATCTGCATATGATGTCAGTTAAAGCACCCCAACAAGTAAAATAAAAAAAATGTTCAACCCTTAGTTAAGAGAGAACTATGGGTTTTTCCCCATAGTTCTCTTAAGGGTCACGGGAGGACTTAAACTAGTGTCCTCCTGTGACCAAAAGCTCAGTATCGCTTGCTAAAGCTCGCGGTATACTGAGACCGCCGCAGCCGGGAAGAATCCCGACATTATTGTCGAGATCCACCCAGCTGTGTGAGAGGCAGAGCCCACTGTCAATCTGGAAACTTCCACTCACTTCTTGTTGAGGCTGTTATGTTTACATGACCGGAAGAATAGGGGGCCACAGAGAGCCACAATACCTGACAGAGGGTTCTACCCTTCCCCATTGTGTTCAGAATAAGGCTGGATTTTCTCTTAAACATTTTAGGCCATTCGTATGTAAATCTGTATCTGTTAATGCTTTAGCAGAGTTATAGATTGCAGGATCTTCTGGTCAACATGCACTTTTGTGTTTATGATATTGAAGCCTGTAGCATTGTAAAAGGCACAGCCTTTGTATTTCTCCTCAATAGTAGTTATGTTTATCATTATTTAGGAGAGTCCATTCCCATCCGGCTGTTTCTGGCTGGTTATGACCCTACACCCACAATGAGAGATGTGAACAAGAAGTTTTCTGTGCGCTATTTCTTGAATTTGGTCCTTGTGGATGAGGAGGACAGAAGATATTTCAAACAACAGGTAACGTTTGGTGTATTCATTAGTTTGCTTTTGTATAAAAGGAAGTATGTAAAACATGCGTTTACGTGGCTTCATAGTTGTCATAGCAGGGTCCGAGACAGGAACTCTACCCAGGTGTTTATGTAGAGATGTAAGAAACTAGTGGACAATTCAGCTCACTGGCATCTACCCAAAACTGAAACCTTGTTCTTGCGTATGTTTTAGAATTTTCATAATTGGAGCTACTTGTCTCCATATGTTCAGAGTTCTTTTTTTTTTTTTTATTTAGAAAACTTTCATTTTAAATTAGAAAATCTAATTTATTTTCCTTATGAAAAATTCCACATATAGAACATCATGGGATATTTATGTTCACAGTTCAATTGCTAAAATTAAGCTACATTTTTCATAGGAGACACTTACACTATTGCGTAGTGGTAATGTGCGGCAATGCACCTTAACACGTAATGTAAGGCGTGTGCCCTAATGCAGTACAGTGGTGCGAATGGACCCTGAAGTAGAGTAATAACACCAGTAGAGGCTTGGCTGGCAAAATAAAGTACAAATGTAACCCCTCCAACAAGGGCACCGAATATATGCAGTTACAGTAATGTTGTAGTACCCCCATCACCCCCTGCCAGTCTCATTGCCCGTTCACACTTGTGCGTTGTGTGATGCAACACGTCAGAAACTAGGGATGCACCGATGCCGGTTTTTCGCATACAAGTACAGTTATTTACCTTTTGGTGCTTGCATGGAGCCGGTTTCCCAGACAGCCTTAGTTGCCCGGGAAGCTGGCTCAATGCAGATTGGCTGGGAAGCCGGCTCATTACCTGCCGCTTGGCTTCCTGATTGGCTGGGAGGCCGGCTCCATCTCCCTCTGACCAAAAGTTCAGGTATTGAAGCATTTGGGTGAGTACGACTACTCGCCCAAGTACTTAGTATCGGTGCATCCCTATTACAAACGTGTGACATGCTTGCAGTGCTATTACTTGGTATTACTTAATAATGGCACCCCAAACAAGGCCAGTAAAATCAAACTTGCATAAATGCACCGTCAAAACTAGGTGAAGCTCGCAGCTCAAATTGGTACATGAGCTTTTTTGAAACCCATGGAGCAGCCCATTGAAATGAATGGGCTGAGGTGCAGCAAATGCACACAAACATGGCGTGCATGCCAACTGTGAACGGGGTCTCGTAGTGAGTTTAAGACTAGCAGGCAAATACAGCATTAGTGCACCTGCACCAAATGTGCAGTTATACTTTAATGGTATATATTTTTCTATTCATTATCTAATGAAAAACATGTTTTGTTATTGCCCTTTTAAATAGGAGATCATTTTGTGGAGAAAAGCGCCTGAAAAGATTAGGAAAAGAACCAATTTCCACCAACGCTATGAGCCCAGTGATCCGCAAGCATCAGCTGAGGAGCCGGAGATGTAGGAGTTTGTGTAGCCCACAAGAGATGAAGGACAGAACCAGATAGAACAAGGCCAAATCTCCCATTGTTTACCTTCATCTGACACTGTTGTTCATTATACTACACTAAACATTCTGCGGGTCTGTATGTAATTCCACTTGTACATATATAAATACCAAGTGCTTTTGCCGAAACACTGGACCTTTCTCAAACTAGCATTTTATATAACTCTTTTAATTTTGGGATTCTGCATTGAACATGCATCAAGCTAAAACAGGTGTCTCACTTTCTTTTCATGCATGTTAGAATGATGTAAATGTAAACAAGAGCCTTATTATTTGTATGTCATATCCACTTTATTGCATCGTTCATCTTGCTGGAATTCCATCTTTATTTTGTTTTGAACAGACAGGTCTTGCATCACTGTGAATCATACCCAAATTTATAGGATTCACTTTGGAAATGAAGGCTTTATTAAACATTTTGAAGACATCACTGTGTGTGTTCATTTTATTTAATGCTTGTCTGAGTCACATGTGCCACTTTATTTTATATTTCATTAACATTTTGTTAATTTTTTCATTGTTAACTGAGTGATGGAATAGGTTTGCCATATAAAAACATTTTGTGTCTGAGACCGTAAGTCCAATTACTGTATGTATAACGGCCACTAAGTTTAGAGTTGCCACATTTTAAACTTGAAGTTTTATATATCGTTATCTAATCTAGCACTCTCTGTATGTATCACTCTAAAATATCTGCAGATCATGATCTTCTGTTGAGAATGTCTGGGTGCTGTGGTCCTCACTTTTGGCTCATTACCATGATGGGCAGGCTCAATGGATAGTTCTAAGGCTTAAAGGATGAAAATGTGAGCGACCAGACTCCCAACTCATTCAGCAGTTAAATAAATGTATTCCAGGGACCCAGGCATTGATAGTGCTTCCGCTGAATGAGAACTCACTTGATCAGTTAGTCCTTGGATCTCTTCTTATAGATGACTAAGTACTGGACACACCTATAGAGGAGCATAGAGAATCTGAGCTGTCCAATCCGTAAAGTGACTGTGAATGTTACGAGAGGGAACAACTGTGTGTATTGGACCTATCTACACAGTGTACCTAAAGCAAGGCAGTACTTGTACTGTGAGCCCCTGGTAGTTCTGCACTAAATCAGACATGTTGCTATCCCCCTCTCTCTACACTTATAAATGACTGTGATGCTTTACCTACTCTGTGCTCAGAAGCTTCTCCTTGGTGAAGTGCCAGTTGTACATTTTATAAAGCCAACAAACCTAAAATTAGGGTTGGACTATTGAAAGCTTGACAGCATTCACAGGTTTACTTGTAAACATTTCAATACTTTAATAAGATATTTAAGCAAATATAAATACACCATTTAGCCAACCTATCAATTTATTATATTTTAAAATACTGCTTGTATTACTGCCTGAAATATATTTCTATTAAACCTCTATGGTGCCCGTGTACAGAAGAAGTTAGGCTAACAGTGGGAGGTTTTGCATGGTCAGCCGATTGGGGTATGCGGCATTGCAATGTGTCATCAGTCTAATGTTTTCAAGCATTCTTGCAGTTCTGGAGCGTGTAAGAAGAAATTCTTGAGTGTGATTTATGCTCATTCGTTCTTCACTTGAGCACACAGAAAATGTCAATACAATGTGAAATATCTCATGTTCTGTCAAATGTAGACATTATTCTGCACGTCTGCAAATATTTTTGTTTATGTTTTGTGTAAGGCATCCAGCGTCTTATATGTAGGGACATATACTTGCTGTACATATTTGTTCACAGGCAAGCTTTTTTTTTTTTTCCCTGTATTGCTGGTGCCAAACAAGAAATGTATCCTCCTATTGTTCCTGCCACAGTTATACAATCACCTGACCTTAAATTGCAGATGAATACAACAAAGAAAAATATAGCTTGTCTATCCCTCCTATTCTATGGCTATGGTATTAAATTTCAAAGGCTTGCACTTAGATAACCAATAACTCTGGGCCTTTTTCACTGAAAAGTACGTTATTTTCAGATAAGATTTAAAAATACAATCGCATGGCGTTAATAAGGATCCTTGTGCTAACACTTTAAATTGAACTTGTTCTAGATTTTTATGTCCAGACCTTGCTAAAATAAGGTACTAGGTATCACTAGACCCCTTTACCAATGTGTTCTAAACACTGTCTATTGCCCACAAACATTCAGTTCAGAGTCTGTCATAAGAAGTTACGTACACATTTATGACTAGGGGAAAATTTGCTTTTCCAGGTTTTGTTGTTTTTTTTTTTTTTCTATCATATTGACACATGATTGAAATGGTGTATGGGACCGTGGAAGGGAAAATCTTATTGTCATAGGCAACAAGAACTGCTATTCCTTCAGGCATGAGACCCATTGTGTTCAATGTATCATCAGATTCTGACCTGACGCTGTTCAAATGAAAAGCATTGTCTAACCAACACTTCATATCTTCAGTTTTCCAAAAGAAAAAAATACTTCTGTTTTTTATGTTCTCTGGAAACACCTTAATAAACCTGATCATTTGTTTTTGTTAGGCATTAATTTTGTTAAATATCTTCTGGACTGTTTCTTTTTTTTTTTTTCAAAATATTATTTTTCTTACTCATAGTATATATAAATTGCTTTACAATATTGTAAAAGTATTTTATATTTCCATGTTTTGAGGCAAAATACTCCTTAAATAAAATCTTATAAACCTAACGTCTTTTTCAGTGTGTGGATTTTTTTTTTGCGTTGTAAACTCCTGGCTTCTAAAAGCCTAATGGTACCATTGAATTCCAGAAGATCCTGAACCAAGGAAAAGGTTAAAGCAGAACTCCAGCTTTAGAGGCTCCTGCACATCAAAATAAATAGAAATATACATTTGTTTTTATTCCCCCTCCACTCTCCCATGGGTCTCATAGGTGGTTTAGTGACCTCATGGGTCCCTTATGATGTTCTTACTCCTGCACTGAATGGCACTTCTGTGATAGTCATTCAGTGCATTAGTGCTGTGATTACACCAATTGGCGGTTTACTTATGACATCTTGAGCTCACCGGAAGTGGTTTGAATGGTGTTCGTTGTCTTTCACCCAGAAGGAGAGTGCCATTTTGAGGAGAAGCAGACCTGTGAAGGACTGCAGGATTTAAGGTGAGTATTGCAGCAAACACAACTTATTTTTTATTTTTACAAGTAGTGGTCTGCTTAATTTTAAGTAGGCCCCATCTTGTAGTATTTTGCACTGCATAGTTACCTAACTCCACAGTGTATGTTGCTTTTTATCCCATGCTTCTGTGTGTAGTAGAAAGCATACAGACTGTGACAGTTCACTCTTCATTACCTCCATCAAAGGAGACAGGCTCCTATCTCACTGTCTCTGCACTTTCCAGATAGGAGTAATACATTTGTGTTGGGTGGTCCAAGCACCACATCCCTTTTGAAATTATATTACCTTATTCTGTAAACACTGGGCTTTAAAGGTACCAATGAGACATCATAAATGCTACTTTTTAAGGAACATACACTAAGTCGACAAAACAAATCACAAAAATTAAAAGATGTGTTTGTGTCTCCACTTCCCCATATTACAGGGGCACCTCCTTAAGCCATTACTGTGACCATACTTTGCACAAACATAAAATCTCGAAACGTCAGTTTTGTTCCCATAAACAAAATCTGTTTTCGTCAGATGATGAATTGCAATGGCCCTGTTCAATGCCTTTTGCACTTCACTTCCTCAGGGAAGTAGGTATTTTAATGAAGTTGTAAATTAAATGATGCACACCCAGCGATGGGTAAAGAGGGAAATCCCTTGGGGGTGGGGACCACAGGGAGACAAAATAGGGGCAGGCTCAATGCCCATAGGTCCTGCTTATCTGATATATGTCATAGAAAGACATGTCTGAGATACAATCGAGGTCACAGGAATGCAGAGGGAGGGGGCACCTTCTCCCAGAAATCAGCACAGGTACTAGAACGGAAGCTCTGTTTTGTGTAGTGCAGAGATAAAATTAATGAAGAGGAGTGAACTGTCAGTCTGTATCTCAGTTTCTACTCCACACAGGAGCATGTGATAAAATGAAACATACACTGTGGGAGTTTGGTGATTGAGCAGTGAAAAGGGATAGTGTACAAAGATGCACTTTAAAGTGGCAGTACAGCCTAATCTAAAAATAAAAGCCCCCCTGGAGCTTTTAGCTATAATGTGCAGTATGTACTGCATATTAGTACATTATGGCACATTTACTGAACTGCAAAATAATGAATGATTCCCTGGAGGACAACCAGTAGATCGTGTGCCCACGGATCCCCTCAGCAGCACATTCATTGATAAACAATGATTATAGGTCTGTAACTGAAGCATATAATAAAACACACAAAAAGAAAGGTCCGTACTAAGGGAGTGTGCCAACCAACAAAGAAGTTCCTTCAGACCATATATAGGAAATTCAAAAATTAATTTATCACATAAATTGCACGCAAGTATATTGCACCACATCCCAAAAACCCTTACAAATTGACAATGTTGTCAAATCATATACAACATCCACTCATTCCTGTAGGATTACAAAAAATGTCCACATTGGGGACGGCTGCTCTCATAGTCAGGTACGCGATCCGTGACCGCGTGCCTGACTGAATTTCCACTCGCCCTCTCTTTATTTCCACTCGCCAAATGCGGGCTGGCGAGTGGAAATTTTGAGCCCTGATATATATATGAATTGGGTTAAGATCATTCGATCCAATTGCTAGAACCACTAGAGCTCATATGTTAGAAGTAAATAGGACTTTGTCCAGGCATCCCCAGGTGATCCCGGGCCGTCAATAAAAATAGTTCAGCAACTGTGCAGTTAATGGGATTGTATTGGAAGGGTTAGTGGATCACTTCCCAGACTGAAAAACTCAATAAGTGAAAGATCAGTCACAGAGACTCAAGGTAGATACTGTGAATTTGTGTCAGCTACAGCTTCTTGAATCGGAAAACTTCAAAATATACTTAGTATCGTGTAAGGACATAGAGTAAAAGGATCACCTGCAGTTTTACACACACACAAGAGCATTCAATGATCCGTTCAGAGGATTATAACACTGATGTCGATGCTTGAAAATAGGTCGATTATAAATGACACATTTACCTGCCAAACCACTCCCCTCCAGCACTGCGCTCCTCCTCTCTGGCACTTCCATCTTTAGTTCGGTCCTCTTCCGGGTTCAGATTCTTTGGCCCCAGCCAATGAAGGGTATGCGCACGGGAATTACTTCATCTCCGAATGCTTTGTCTGTGGGCTGAGCTAAGCTGTATGTGTGACCCAGCGTACAGAAAAATGTAATTGCTCATGGCTAGAAAGAAGCCTTAATGGCAGAAGGGACTCTTCTGCCATGTAAAGCCTATCAATTAGCAATGTTTTCTTTTTTGGAAGCTTTAATTCTGCTATAAAGCAAACCTGTGCTTTGTCAATGCAGGCTGGAGGTGACCAAAGTCATTGTAGGCGGGCAGCAGGACTGGAGCAAAGAATTATATCCCACATGGCTTTTTTCAGAACAAAGTCTGGAAAGTGCCCGACCCAAGCCCAGTACTCAAAGGTCACTTCCAAGCTATCCGTGCATGTCTAGTCCAGCGGGGTCCAGACACGGTACTCTAAAGCTGGCCATAAACCTATAGATTATCTGCAGATAATTTCTATGGTCCGATGGAAAAAGTGCAACAGATTCCTCCATCTACGTTAAACTGTGTGGGTGGAGGAATCCCCCACTGGGCCGAGCTTCAGTATCTTGCTAGTCGGCCCCGCTGGTTCTCAAAATACCTGAACAGCTTGGCCCATTGGGAGATTCCTCTATCCACACAGTTTAGCGTAGATGGAGGAATCTGCTGCACTTTTTCCATCTGACCATAGAAAATCTGCAGGTAATCGATAGGTGTGTGACCATGCTGGGAAGCTGCAATCGGAGACAAAGCCCCAGCAGAGATGTAGAGAAGAATCTTGATTAGAAATATGAAAAAAATCTGTTAGCTAAAAAAAATTGTCTTTACCACAGCAGAACAGTAAAAAAGACCTCTATCCTCCTAGGACACTAGCAAAAAACTGAACCATGATGGTAGTCACAGGGATTATCCAGGGCTGATCTACAGGTTTTTTTTTTGTCCAATGCTCCTGTTGGTGGCTGTACACCCTGAAGATTTAAGGCTTCCAGTGTACCTCAATGGATGAGAAACAAAATTACATCACTGTTCTTCACTTTATTTTTTTGAATAACTGACCTGGAAAAGGTATACATAAAGGACCTTAATCCGGATCTGATTCTGCATACTTGTTCCAGGGTCAGCGGCTGAGACTTTTGAAGCCAACGAAATAACGAGCCAAATAGCATTTTCAGAAGGCACGATGCAGTCCCGGGTTTTCAACATGGCAGTTTTTTTCTTCATTCAGCACTGTCACCACTGGGTAATTTGTACAGAAGAGGCAATATACTTAACTTCCTGGTGGTCTGTGAGTTGAATTGCAGACATTTTGCTTTGCCACAGCAAGTATTTAAACACCTGCTTCCCCGCTGCATGCAGTGGTTTCTCCTGATGGCTCATATGTTCTCTAGCCAGCCGGGGGAACCTCTGCATGTGGCGGGGGAGCAGGTATTCTACACTCCTGTAATTGTGGAATCCTGCAGCGGCTGATGGATACTGGGAAGGTAAATATATTGCCTCTGCTTTCCCAGTAGGGCTGCCACCTGTCCAGGATTCACCCAGACAGTCCAGGTTTTGAATGATATGTCCGGGTTTCATGGCAGCAGAAAAACCGGGACACAAGATGTCAGGCAGATAGGGGCATCCAAAATTAAGATAGGGGCTACTGGCCCCCCACCGAAAATAGTCTCAACTGTGATATTTACATATGAAAGGGCGGCGCTATTTACATATGAACATGCCACGGCTCATTCTCCCAAAAAAATGTCCACGCGTCGTTAGAGTGTTCAGGTTTCGCTTGAAGAAAAAGTGGCGACCCTATTTCCCAGTGCGTTTCTTCTGTATAAGTGACCGTGTGGTGACGGGTTCACTATAAAATCAGTGGTAAACTCAGATGCACTATAACTGCGTCCTTTTCAGCACTAGCACACACAGCCATGCCTAGATGAGTTCTATATATCGTCACCCCAATAAGTAGAACACTGAAGGGGATCGTCCTGTCTGATAACAGAGCTGTGGTCACACGAGGTGCATATCACAGCCTGGTTTGCATATTTCTGTATTCTAAGCAAAACGACCTGTCAATGTCATTCAGGCATACGTTTAGTCGCCTAAATGTAGGGCCTTTCAGGGTCCTCCCGGCAGTGATGACGACATCAGAGCGCGACTGTGTCATGTTGCTTCTTTCGGGGACGTGCGGACAGTGATGTCGCGGAACGTGTATAGCGCTAGGCAGTTCTTATGACCACCGTTGTTGTGTCCCCCCTGTGTGCCCCGTCATGTTCGTGCAGAGAATGCCCTTTCTTGCCCGAAGCTGCCTGCAGCCTGCCACACGGAGCCCTCTCCTGCGGGAGATTGTGTGCAGCTCGGTGGCCGGGTGTTCCAGGATCAGGTCAGCCTCTAGGACTCTTTCTGATGGGAACAGCAGACCTCTGGACACATCTCTGTTTATCCCTGTGAATATACGGCCGATAGACATCCCAGATACAGACATTGGGGCAGAGCTCACCCAGCCTCTTAATAAATGTAAGTGTGGTGGGGAGTGCTGAGGGTCCTTGCTATAACCTCTTCTGCTGACAGTAGGAACCATGGGTATCTATCCCAGACATTGGGGGGATGAGGAGTAATGAGGGTCCTCACTGTACTCTCTTCTGCTGGCAGTAGGGCCCATGGATATCTATCCCAGAGATTGGGGGGATGAGGAGTAATGTGGGGCCTCACTGTACTCTCTTTTGCTGACAGTAGGAACCATGGGTATCTATCCCAGACATTGGGGGGATGAGGAGTCATTTGGGGCCTCACTGTACTCTCTGCTGACAGTAGGAACCATGGGTATCTATCCCAGAGATAGGGGGGGTGAGGAGTAATGAGGGTCCTCACTGTACTCTCATCTGCTGACAGTAGGACCCATGGGTATCTATCCCAGACATTGGGGGGATGAGGAGTAATGAGGGGCCTCACTGTACTCTCTTCTGCTGACAGTAGGAAACATGGGTATCTATCCCAGACATTGCGGGGATGAGGAGTAATACGGGACTCACTGCACTCTCCTGCTGACAGTAGGACCCATGGGTATCTATCCAAGACATTGGGGGGATGAGGAGTAATGAGGGCCTCGCTGTACTCTCTTCTGCTGACAATAGGAACCATGGGTGTCCCAGAATCAGACTTTGGGGCGATGAGAAATACTAAGGGGGGCCTCACTGTACTATCTTCTGCTGACAGTAGGAACCATGATCTTTTCAGCTGAGATCAGTAACAGTGGGTATCCATGACTAAGACATTGGTGTAATAGGGAGTACTGAGGGGTCCATACTGTTCTACATTCTGCTGAGATCAGGAACAGTGGTAATCTCAGACACTGGGGGGATGGGCAATGCTGAGGGGTCCTCACTGTGCTATACTGAAATCAGGAGTAATGGTTATCCCAGACTCAGGCATTGAGGCAGAGCTCACCCAGCCTCTTATTAAATGTAAGTTTGATGGGGAGTGCTGTGGCCTGCTGCAGGTAGTGATGATATTTCACTGTTACAGTTAATATTTCTTTTGACTTTCTTGTTTCTAGCTGAAGTATTGAAGCTTTTGAACAGATTTTACCGAAGAAAAGAAATACAGAAGCTGGGAGCAGACAATGGACTTGATGGTAAGAAATTAGTTCACATAATTTCTTTGCAAGTACAGTATGTTGCAGTAAGGACAGGATGTTACAGAGCGAGAGGCGATTAAAAAACCTACTCCAACCTAAAACTTTTTTATAGAATGATGTGAGATGAATATTTACTTCTGTTAATTTGTTTTTTATTGCTGTCTGTGGTCTTGTTTGGGAGATTTCACTTCCTGTCCCTGTGACAACAGGGCAAGAAATTAGTGGAGTGATTTTCTCCCGCATAGAAAAACAGAAATGGTATTAACCCCTTCATGACTGAGCTTGTTTTTAGTTTCTGTTCGTAAATGACTGACACACTTTTGACATTTTTGCTGTGTGATTCTTCCACGTCAGTAATATACTTTCTTACAAAGTGCACCCACACATATTATATATTGTTTTTTAGAGGACAGATAGGGCTACATATTTATATCACATATGTGCGTCTAACGCCTCACTTAGGACAAATAAAATATAAAAAAAGAGGAAAAAACCGTTTAAAAAAAACACTTTTTTCCCAGTTTTGATTTGTAGTATTTTTTTTACAAAACCAGCACAGCTAAAAAAATGCAATAAATACATTCATTTATTTGTCCCTTATTTTATTTTATTTTTTACACATTTTTTTATTTTTTTTACACTTTTCACAATTTTTTTTTTTTTTTACACTTTTCACTTTTTTTTTTAACTTAAAAATGTTATTTTATTTATTTAATTATATCAAGCAGATTTTGTGAATTAATCTCACTGTTACTGCATGATAAATTAATAAATTTTTGGTTATTATCAGGCTGCTTCAAACTTCAGAACAGCCGATAATAAGTTAGTGACACTGATCCTGCAGCAGTTCAGGATTCAGCTGTTACTAAATGTTTTCTGATTGTTGCAACAACGATCAGCAAACAAACATTCTTCTTCCAGGAATAGATACATTGTAGGAATAGACACATTTTGTATCTATTCATGAAAGAAAAAAAAAAAAGCCAGTATAGCTTGAGAGAGATATCTCTCGATCTATACGAGCTGTCAGAATGCCGGCAAAAGCCGGCATCTGTGTCCGCTTTGCTTTGACTCTCAGACACCCGATATTAAGGTATCGGGTGTCTGAAAAAGGTTAACCCTTTCATTAATGAATGCCTCTGTAGTAAGGGCATCCATTAATGAATGTTAAAAGCTGATTCTCAGCGATTAACAGCCCTCTAAAGCAGCAAATAACTCGTCACGTACAGTGTACGTGACAAGTCATTTGGTCCCTTTGTGGATGGACGTACATTGTACGTCTCCCGTCACGAATCGGTTAATAACCTGACAGTGGTTTTAACGCTTACCAATCTTACTGTAAAACAAGCATTTTTGTGCAGTCATTGTGCCCCAACTGGAGAGATTTCCCATCACTTCCTGTTTCAATAGAAGTGAATTGAAATGTAGTGAATCTCCAGTGAGGTCATAGACCACAATACCAACTTGACAGATTATATCTCTACCCCGCTCAGTCTAAATAGGGGAGACAAAGTGCCTGGAGTTGGCCTAAATCTGGGCTAAAATGTTCTAATTGAAGTTTTGGTAAATTAAGTATTGTTCCTAAAGCAGCTTGTGGTTTGCCTATGCAGGAAAAAGCCACAAGTTTCGTTTTAACACCCCTTCTGAGGAGCACATAGTTCTCCTTCACTGCTTCCTGTTATATGCACACAAACAGTAGGACCCGTTTAATTGGAAGCTGGTTAAACTACAGTATTCCTCTGGCTTGTAGGAAGGAACTGGAGCACCCGCAAGAACCACACAAACACAGTGGAAACCTACTACATTTATGCAGACAGGACACCACCTGTAAGGCAAGAGTGCTGACTACTTAGTGTCAATGGCGAGTGTTAAATCTACTTCATGGAAGCCATGCCTGTCCTAGAAGAAAGCAAACTGCAATTTAGTAGGGGGAAGTCGAAAAATGTACTTATCATTCTGTATGACCAATATTATACCTCTGAAATTACTATAGTCACGTAGGGGTTAAATGATTAACACTTTCCTGATTTTATAGTATAGTGTCTTTCCAATTATTAAGGTGCTTTGCATTAGTATTCTATGGATCTGAAATAAATAAGGGTCCTTAAAATGTTTCTTTCCTGTCCTATTAAATATTGAGGATTAAGGCCTCATTTACACGTAAAAAGGCCGGCATGTACAGCTCCGTGCTGCGTGCACGGCCGTATCGGGCAGCTCCCGGGAAGGACCGGTGCTGCATGTGATTAGTATGCAGCCCCTGTCCTTCTCTATGGGACAACGCGGCCGTACGCCGCCCTACGCTCATCCGGCCTGCACGTCCGTGCGGGTGTCCGTACTCGTACGCTGACAGGAGGGATCCTGTCTGTGTCCGAGCCGGGACACCTGCACCCGTACGGATCTGCACTTTGGGTGAGCGTAGGGCAGCATACAGCCGCGTAGTCCCATTGAGAAGGACAGGGGCTGCGTACTAATCACACGGAGCACCTGTCCTTCTCGGGAGCTGCCCGATACTCGTGTGAATGAGGCCTAAACCTGAACTCCAGCCACACAAACTTTCATTTAAATATTTTTCACGATAGCCGCAAAGGATTTAAATCTGCATTGTGTTCGACAAATGCCTTTGCAAACCCACCTATAACCAGGTAGAAATAGAAGTGAGATCATCACCGTGCTGAACATGTCCTTTACAGAGAGCGGAGCTCTCTGGGTGGGACCCAGAAGGCTCAACCACTACTAGCTGCTAAGGGGACAGGACCATTCACCCTGCACAAAAAAGTAGTTATAGCAGCGTCTAATGCCATGTTGTTGTGGCCGAATTTACAGCCATTCTGGCAGAGAAAGCTCTGACACTTTTTAGAGTTATTTTCAGGTTTTTTTTTCTCTATTTGCATTGGGCACATACAGTATAGGATAGGCATATCGGTACAAGCATGAAATATCAGATCTGGTTTGTCTTCTGGAGTTAGTTGGTTCTGATAGAAAATGTTGAAGTCTACTCATTGGGGGAAATTTTATATAAACTGGACAGAATCTGGAGCAGTTGCCCACGGCAACCAATCAGCTTCTCTCTTTAATTTTCAAAGCTTAACTGGACAAACTGAAGAGAGAAACGGAATGGTTGTCATGGGCAACTGCTCCAGATTCTGTCTGCTCCAATTTTGATAAATCCCTCTTATTATGTTTTAACTGTGTTTACAGCCCGCCTGTTTCATCAAGCGTTCATCAGCTTCCGAAGATTTGTCATGGAAACTGACCCTTTGAATGTGGATCTACATATCGTCCTCAATGATATTTGTTGTGGAGTTGGTATGTGCTGATTTATAGCAAAACTTGTTTATTTCCTTTTTAATAACGCTATTACATGTGAGTGCAAAAATATTTTATATTAACCTAATCACTTTGAAATGTATGTTAATTAATAAACAAACCATTATTTCAGTTAATTTACTATGATTGCCATTTATATTAAGATTTTTAAATATGACTTCTTTTCAGAGTGGTGCTTTTCAGTCCTCTGTATGACACCCGTCACTTCCTCACTTTCTCATTTGTTAAATTGTAGTAACATAGCTTGCTTATTGATGTACATAAACACATAAGTACCACTCCTGAAACTGGAGCTTGATAGTACTGGCTGCCAAACCCAGTTAGATTGACTTTCTCTAGCTGATACCAGGATAGCTTAATTGACTTAATTGTATCTTGTTGTATATTGTTTCTTCAGATATGTTTACTGGTCCTCCAGTCAGGGAAATACTCCATGACTTGACCATCTACCCTTTATGCAGTAATATAATATAGATTAAAATCTTGGCATTGGCTAATAAATTCCTTTTTTTTTTTTTTTGTAGGTCATGTTGATGATATTTTCCCTTTCTTCATGAGACATGCCAAACAGATATTCCCCATGCTGGATTGTATAGATGATCTTCGCAAAATAAGTGACCTGAGATTGCCCCCAAACTGGTAAGGCCGCTATACTCTGTGTTCTCAGGTTTTGATTCTGAAGACAAAGCTAAACGTAAAATCAGTTTAGTTGCTAAACTACAAATGAACTAGAATGACCACTAGCACCTATCCAAAGCCATTACCCTCTTTTCCTTCCTGCTGTTGAAATTGTCTTTACTACTTGTAGGTATCCTGAAGCTAGAGCCATTCAGCGGAAGATCATTTTTCATTCTGGCCCCACAAACAGTGGCAAAACTTACCATGCTATCCAGAGATTTTTCAGTGCCAAGTCTGGAGTATACTGCGGCCCTCTTAAGCTGCTTGCGCATGAGATTTACAAGAGGAGTAATGATGCGGTAAGGCACTTACATATTCCACTAGAATTATTTTAATTACCTGTGTGATTAAAAAAGAGGGAGATTTGAAAGGAGTTTCAGTGAGTGCATGATGCCCAATGATCTTGTACTATATTCTTTCTACAGCATTAAAGGATTATGTATGTATGTAACAAAATGTTTGTCTTCTACTTAGGGGATTCCCTGTGATTTAATCACAGGGGAGGAGCTAATACACGTTGATCCAGAGGGAAGACTAGCCAGTCATGCAGCATGTACCATAGAGATGTGCAGTGTGAATACACCTTGTAAGTAATATTTGAGTGGCCATACATTAGCCACATTGTTGCAAGTAATGCAGCTTATTTAACCATAATTTGCAATAATCAGGAGCCTGTCAAGCAGCTTTAAAGCGACACTAAACCCAAAAATTAAATAATACAAATATGATCTACAACATAGTCATGTAATAATGGGATTACTCAGGTTTTCATTATAGGCCTTTAAATGCTGCTAAAAAAAAGATTTATTTATCAATTTGCTTAACTTCCTGCCAGAGGGTGGCTACTTTTCTTCTCCATGGTCCCTATGGGAGCTGAAAAGTAGCTATCCTCTGTGCTTGTTCCCACTGTGAACTACAACTATATGTCGGGGATCTTTGCACCCTCACATCTCCTCTTTTCTCCTCCCTCGCATCCACATTGGGGGAGGGTGTCATGGGAGTGTGAGCTGACCTGTATCTTACAATGTGCATGGACTCCTAGAGGTGTACATGTGTGTTTGTGTGAGTCTGTGTACATGTGTGTTTTAAAGCTGAATTCCAGCCTTATGTTCAGCCTTGCACAGTTGTATAGGCTCCTCTCCTGTACTAATATTGCTTACTCTGGAGTCATTGCATGCTGTGAGCTTCTCAGGGTACATTACTAGCTGCAGCAAGTCAGATAGAGCCCACCTAATTTCCTGGCTGGGGGACATGTACAACTTTATCAAGGCCATTCTTCCCCAGCCTTGTTGTCCCTAGGCAGCCCCATTCATTCATTGGCTTTCAGCTTTTTCAATCTTGGAGGCTTAGTATCACATGTGGATGTTGCCAAGGTTGGTCTGCATGCAAATGCAGCCTGCCTAGGAATGCACACTCCTCAAGACTGATAATCCACACATGAAGGCATTTTGATATTTGTATAAATCCTCCAAAGAGGCAGACCGCTACTTACATCAGGGCTGAGGGCTTTTGAAAGAGTACTGAGACAGGCTTATTTTCAGGAAGCTATGCACACCATCCTATAAAATATATAATACACAATGAACAAACCTGCAAGCACTGAAAGAACAACAATATTCTGAAAAAAAAAACCCCAAAGAATCTATGCGCCACACTGTGCCTAATATGTCAAAGCAAAGTATAAACTTGTACCAGGACTATACTATGTTAAACAGGGCAAAAATCTAACTAAAAAAAAAATCTGATTTGTTGATGAGGGAGGAAAGAAGGAACCAGGGAAGTGAATAAAGTCACATTAAAGCTTTAAAGAATAACTTTAGACAAATAAAAAAACATACCCTTTGCAGTGCGGTTCCCCCCTCAGTGCAAGAGTTAAGTGCTTGTTTTGGTCTAGGGGCTGCAGTAAAGCAGAATTACTTGCCTGACCCCGGCTCCCTCCTGACTGCCAGACCACTCCCCACAGCCAAGATCACTGATATCCTCATGTCTTATGCAGGTCCTTGACCTGCATTAGAGGTGAGGACACAGAGGGACACTCCATAGCTGGAGGAGAGGGGAGAAAGGTGAGCGCTGACTACTGCGGGAGCTCAGATCAAGTATGTAAAACTGCTTTGTTCCAGCCCCTAGCACATCTTTGGGCTTACACAGGTCTAAGTATTGTCTTCTGACCCCTCCACGGTGACAGATCTGGGGAGCGGAACAGTCTGATACCGTGGACCAGCATTGTCACATGCTTCCCCACACCTGGAGGTACTAGGTATTTTTCTTTGTTCCCAAAAGGGAACATAGAAAGGGCGAGTATATCCTGCTGGTAGGGCCAAAGTTAAACTGGTCCATCTCATAGAATGAAGATCTGGTGCTAAGCAGAAGGCTATAGAAAATGTGTTAGCTTGGTAGGCCTCAATGAATCGCAATATATAATGGCATTGGTATCATTTTTATTGTTGTTATTATAGTGAATAAAACTTTGTGCAATTTAGCCATCTTAACAGTGATTTCTCTTTTTCAGCATTTCTTCTGATATTTTTATTTTATTTTTTTTAAATTTTTTTTTATGTGTGCTCTTTAAATATTTTTGTATTCTTTTTAGATGAGGTGGCTGTGATAGATGAAATTCAGATGATAAGAGATCCTGGCAGGGGCTGGGCCTGGACCAGAGCACTCCTAGGTAAAGCTGGATATTTTATTCTTATAGATACAGAATCTAGCTGCAATTTCTCAACTGTCACTGACAATGGTCACGACTTTGTTTTTTGTGTAACAGGGCTTTGTGCCGAAGAAATTCATATCTGTGGAGAGGCTGCTGCTATTAAACTGGTGACTGAGCTAATGTACACAACTGGGGAAGAAGTGGAGGTAATAATGATATGATTCTTTTGTCCTGCGTATTTGCAGGCATACTGCAGGATGTGGTTCTGTTCAACTTGCATCTCATGAGAGCAAGACCTG